TTCTTTGTTTACCTCAACATAAAAGAAGATATTTTGAAGAATGTTCATAACCAGAAGTTTTCTGGTCCCCATTGACTCCAATAGTGTTTTTTTTTTTCATACTATGAAAGTCATGCAGCAACTGTTTGGTTACCAGCATTGTTCCCAATATGTTCTTTTGCGTTCAACATAGGGATGGACGATATGGCCAAAATTGATATCACGATATATTTCTTAATTTCGGTCAATACGATATAATTCCGATATCGATATGACCACTATTTATCTGAAATAGAAATCTTTTGTAACATTATAAATGCCTTTATCATCACTTTTGATCAATTTTAAGCATCCTTGCTAAATAAAAGTATTAATTTCTTTCCCAAAAAAATAATAAAAATTATACTGAATGGAATAGTGTATAATGTTACAAAAGCTTTTTATTTCAGATAAATGCTGATCTTTGGATCTTTCTATTCATTATCGCGATACATATTGATATTGAATTATTGTCCAGCCCTAGTTCAACAGCAGAAGGAAACTAATACAGGTTTAGAAAAACAACAGAATTTGCATTTTTGGGTGAACTATTCCTCGAAAGCAGCCTAATAGAGCTACTGTTGCCATTTGTGTCAATAACCTAAATCAAACATCAGAAAGAAAATCACTCCCTGTCCTTGACTGAATCACTTTTGTAAAATAAGTAAGAATTAATGTATTGAATTTATACAGTGAATACTATTCAGTCTATTTGTACATTTACTTTATACAATATAATGTTTTTTATTCAATGCTTTAAGTTTTTCAAGTAGGTCGATTTCTTATGTATCTTTGTTCTCTTGTAATTTGTGACTGTTTACTTGTCTTCGGTAAGTTTGGTTTTACTTAGGCTAGTATTATTTTTTTGTGATACTGAAATTAGTAACAAGAATTATGAAATTTCAGTGCATCAAAAATGTTGATAGAATAAAAATCCTATTTAAAGCTATTGTGATGGGGGGCCCTGCAGTAAGTCATAGTTGGTGATAGTGGTGTTGAGAAGTTGCTAGTGTGAAGTTGATGAGATCGACAAATAAGGTAAGTAGACTCGTGAATTATAAATCATAGCAGAAACTCATTAACTCATTTCACAAGATGTCCAGTTTTGTTGTTCAGTAATGTCCATCATGTATCCTTTAATAATAAAATATGTACCCCATGGTTAAAAAATACATATATGCCTATAATAAAATACCAATATAAAATTATAAAAGGTATATCGTCTTTCTAAATTATTCCCAAACATAACATTGTTGTTTAGGCCATACATACCACGTAATATTAGAATAGGTATCACTTAGTTTAAAAATACTTACAGTATAAATGATTTGTAATTTTACAGGTTGTTACTTGTTACCCCTTTATTCCACAAATGTCGCATATTATTCCCTTACCTACACGGAGGCACTGAATATGTACACTATAATTACAAAAAAGTTACGCTGTAAATTCAGTTTACTTAAGCAGTTCTTTGCAGGTTGCATATCTGGTTGTTACCCCCTTATTACACAAACGTAACACGTTTTTCCCTTATACTTACACGTACATTCTTTATAGGTACACTATAATTACAGAAAAGTACACCGTAAATTCAGTATACTTGCGTAGTTCTTTGCGGGTTGTAATCTAAAGCGTTACCAAAAACTCTTTCCACATAAAGAACATGAATGTGGTTTCTCCTTTGAATGAACTTTCCGGTGACTCTTCAGGTGTGAAGCCCTCAAAAAATGTTTTTCCACATTGATCACATTCATGTGG